CCAGGAGCAGCCACTGCACTCCAGTCTGGGTGACAGAGTGAGACTCCAACTCAAAAAAGAAAAAATCAACAAAATTGATAAATATTTTACCCTGATATCAAAATCACACAAAGACATCACAAGAAAACTATAGAACAATAGATCTTTAAATATAGATGCAAATTTTTCTCAAAAACATACTAGCACACCAAATCCAGCATCATATCTTAAAAGATTATATACTGTGACCAAGTGATTTATCCCAGGAATTAAAAATAGAACTAGAAGGCAATATGATAACAGTCATTTATGATAAACCCATAGCTAACAGCATACTTGATGAAATACTGAATGTTTTTCCCCAAAGATCGGAAACAAGACAAGTGACTCTTGCCAAGACAATCTTAAAAATAAATAAATAAATAAGTTAAGCTGGGCTCAGTGGCTCAGCCTGTAATCCCATGCTTTGGGAGGCTGAGGTGAGTGGATTGCTTGAGCCCACGGGTTCGAGACCTGCCTGGGCAACTTGGCGAGACCTCTTCTCTACAATAAATAAATAAATAAATCAGCCGGGCACGGTAGCGCATGCCTGTAATTCTGGCTACTCGGAAAGCTGAGGCGGAAGGATCGCCGGAGCCCAGCAGGTCAAGGCTGCGGTGGCCGGGAGCGGCCACTGCACTCCAGTCTGGGTGACAGAGTGAGACTCCAACTCAAAAAAAAAAAAAATTAATAAGTTAGAGCAGTCATATATCCCAATTTCAAAATTTACTACAAAGCTATAATAATCAAGACAATATGGTACTGTCATAGGACAAATATATGCATTGATAAGATAAAACTGAGAGTTCAGAAAAAACCATTACATTTACAATTAATTAATTGATTTTTCAACAAGGGGGCTAAGAGAGTTTAGTGAGGAAAGAACAGTCTTTTCGACAAATGATATGGGAAAAACTAGCTATCCACATACCAAAAAATGAAGTTAGTCCTCTACCTCACACCATATACAAAAATTATCTCAAAATGGATCGGAGCTAAAACTCTTAGAAGAAAAACTAAGGGCAGGGCATGGCATGGTGGGTCATGCCTGTAATCTCAGCACTTTGAAGTGCTGAGGAGGGAGGATTGTTTGAGCTCAGGAGTTCAAGACCAGCCTCGGCAACAAAAAACTAACCAGGCATTGTGGTGTGCCCCGGGAGTCCCAGCTACTCAGGGGACTGAGACGGGAGGATCACCTGAGCCCGGGAGGTTGAGGCTGCAGTGAGCCATGATCATGCCACTGCACTCCAGCCTGAGCGACAAAGTAAGACCTTGACTCAAAAAAATTCAATTAAATTAATTGTAGGACTAAATCTTCATGGACTTAAATTAGGTAACAGTTTCTTAGATATGACAGTGACTAAAGAAAAATAAATTGAACAACATTGAAAATTTCGTGCTTCAAAGGACACCATCAAGAAAGTGAAAAGATGATCCGAAGCATGGGGAAAAAATTTACAAATATATATCTGATAAGGAATTGTACCCAGAATATTAAAAAAAAACCCTAGCCGGGCTCAGTGGCTCAGCCTGTAATCCCACGCCTTCGGGAGGCTGAGGTAAGTGGATTGCCCGAGCCCGCGATTTCGAGACCCACCTGGGCAGGCAAGACCTCATCTCTACAATAAAATCAAAAACTTAACCGGGCATGGTGGCATGCACCTGTAATTCCGGCTACTCGGAAGGCTAAGGTGGAAGGATCGCCGGAGCCCAGCAGGTTGAGGCTGCGGTGGCCAGGAGTGGCCACTGCACTCCAGTCTGGGCGACAGAGTGAAAAAAAAAACTCTTACAACTCAACAATTAAAAAAACAAATCTCCATATATATATATATATATATATATATAAATATATATATTTGTTGTTGTTGTTGTTATTTAGTTTTTATTTCTCTTCAATCCAACTAGACATGGAAGGGAATAAGGAAAATATGGAACCCAAAGAATTGTAGCGAGAACACAAAGGTTATAGGGATACTGCGAGCAAACGGGATGGAGGGGGTGCTCTCCTGAGTTACAGAAGGAATGATCTGGTAGTTTAAGATAAAACAAGTCAAATTTATTAGAGTTGTCCACAGTCAGCAATGGTGATCTTCTTGCTGGTCTTGCCATTCTTGGACCCAAAGCCCTTCATGGCTTGTCCAACATTCATGCCCTCTTTCACCTTGCCAAAAACCACATGCTTGCCATCCAACCATTCAGTCTTAGTAGTGCAGATGAAAAACTGGGAACTGTTTGTGTTGGGTCCAGCATTTGCCATGGACAAGGTGCCGGGACCTGTATGCTTCAAGATGAAGTTCTCATCATCAAATTTCTCCCCATAGATGGACTTGCCGCCAGTGCCATTATGGCATGTAAAGTCACCACCCTGGCACATAAACCCTGGAATCATTCTGTGAAAGCAGGAAGCCTTATAACCGAATCCTTTCTCTCCAGTGCTCAGAGCACGAAAGTTCTCTGCTGTCTTTGGAACTTTGTCTGCAAACAGCTTGAAGGAGACGCGGCCCAAGGGCTCACCGTCAAGGGTGACGTCGAAGAACACGGTGGGGTTGACCATGGCTGATGGGAAAAGGCTCAAGGCGGCGGCGTCTTCAAAGCCCCAAATATTTTAAATAGGCAAAGGATTTGAATAGATATTTCTCCAAAGAAAATATACAAATGGTCAATATGCTTATGAAAAGATGCTCAGCATCAGTGTTCACCAGAAAAAAATTACAAAACAAAACCACAATGAGATACCACTTCATACCCACTAGGATGGCTGGGATCAGACAGATGGACAAGAACAAGTTGAGTAAGGATGTGGAACCCTTGCCTGTTGTTGATGGGCGCATACAATGATGCAGTTGCTTTAGAAAACAATCTGACAGTTTCTCAAAATTTTAAACACATAATTACCATTTGACTCAACAATTCCGCTCCTGGGCATACACCCAAGAAAAATAAAAGGATATGTCCACACAAAATCTTGTACACAAGTATTCCTAACAGTATCGTTCATAGTAGCTAAAAACTGGAAACAACCCAAATGTCCGCCTGATGATAGATAAACAAAATGGGATATAGCCATACAATGGAATAGTATTCAGCCATAAAAAGAAATGAAGAATTGATCCATACCTCAGCATGGATGAACTTTAAAAATGTGCTAACTGAAAGAAGCTGGGTGGGAAGGCCACATATGGTAGACTTCTATTTATGCGAAATATCCAGAAAGTAGATTTGTGGTTGCCAGGGACTGTCGGCAGGAAGGGAAGGGAGATGGGGGTCATTATGATTACAAGTCTTTGGGAGTATGAGAAAAATGTTCTAAAAGTGATTGTGGTAATGGTTGCACAGTTCTGTGAATATACCCCCCAAAAATGAATTCTACACTTTAAAAAAGGGAAAAAAAGAGTACATATTATGGTATGTGGATTACATCTCAATAAAACTGTCATTGGCCAGGCATGGTGGCTCACACCTGTAATTCCTAGCACTTGGGAGGCCAAAGCAAGCAAATAAGGCGGGAGGATTGCTTGAGTCCAGGAGTTCAAGACCAACCTGGGCAACATAGCAAGACCTCGTCTCTACAAAAAAACAAACAAACAAAAAAGAGCAGAGGGGAGTGGGGAGCCTGACATGGTAGTGTGTACCTTGTAGTCCCAGCTACTCGGGAAGCTGAGGTGGAAGGATCACCTAAGCCCAGGAAGTCAAGGCTGCAGTGACCCATGATCGTGCCACTGCATTCCAGCCTGGGTGACAGAGTGAGATCTTGACTCAAAAAAACAAATAAAATAAAAAATAAATAAAATAAAGCTGTCTGTCATTAAAAAGAGGGAAAGGAAAAGAAAAGCAAAAAGATACATTCCGGGACATCACTTCCCTTCTACTTTCCAACACGTGCCAGTGCCTCCCAGACCTCCCCAGAAGTCAGAAGGAAAGTAGTTTAGGAAATGAAGCCCTTCGTGACACTGAGCAGGCCAAGGGAAGGATGGGGACACTCTTCCTCTCATCTCTGACTCCCCAGCATCTAACCCACGGTCTGGCCCATGATATCCGTGCTATAAACATTTGCTGAATCAGTAAATGGCCTTTAGTCTCGGTTCTGCCAGGTGGCACAGGGGGCTTTTTGAATGTAAATAACCTAATGATTCAGGCTCCTATGACCAGCGACTGGTGCTGTCACCCTCCGTCACCTTTCTCATAACCCTTTGTGTCAAAAGGCACTAGAGAGGCCCTACGTAAAGCAGTGAGGGCTGGAAGGAGGAGCAGGGGTGGGAGGGGCGGGGAAGGGGTGGCTCCTCTCACTACTTAAAAGGGGCTCATGCCACCACTTCCTCCCCAGACAGGGGTAGTGCGAGGCCGGGCACAGCCTTCCTGTGTGGTTTCACCGCCCAGAGAGCATCATGGACCTGGGTGAGTACACCTCCTCATATGAGAGGGAACCGTTCCAGGGGATTGGACACCCAGACTGACCCTGTGGAATGGGGGTGCAGGATGGCGGTGGGAGGCATGGGGGGTGAGGCTCTCGGAAAAATTGAGTCTGGTTGGGTGGGCATCGGTGGCTGCTTCCAGAGCAGCCCCCTTGTTGTCCTAGGAAGGGTGCACCTGTCCTTTCAGACCTGGGGAAGGGGGTAACCTTCCTGGTGTCAGGAAGGAGAAGTGGCCCAAGGTCACTTCTTTCTAAAACAGCGAGAACCTAAGAAAGAGACGGGGCTGGGCTTGACAATCTGGGCAGAGCCTGTTCTCAGCTTGGGGGTGATGGGCAAAGCCCTCTGGGACCAGTTTCAACATGGGGACATTCTCCCCAGAGGCTCAGGACTCTCCATTCGCTCTGTGATTCCTGCTTTTCTGCCCCGCTACCTCGGGGCTTGAATCCCTGGCCTCTTGGGGCCGTGAGAAAGAGCAAATTAAAGGTGACCGTGCTGTGTGAATGGAACGGTGCCGTGCACACGCGAGCTGCGGTTGTTTTCTCTCTGCACATCCTACTGGTTTTGCTCCGGCTTGGCCGTTGCCCCTTGCAAGTTGAGGAGTGGGAGGACAACATGAAACGGGAAGGCGAGGGGTGCTCATCTTGGAGAAGTCAGCACTGCCCCTGCCCCTGCCCCTGAGCAAACCTCCCGTGCTCCACCAGGCACAGGCAGACAACTCTGCGCTTTCGAAAGCCCCACCTCTGGCCCAACCTCAATCCTGACTAGAGGGGGTTCTGAGTGGTCCATCCAACTCCAGACACCTCATCTATGAATCTCACCTGTCGACTCAGACCCAGCTGAGGCTAAGAAGGCCAGTTTCCTAGATGGCTCGTCTTGCCAGCAAGCAAAGCACCACGGCGGCCTCAAAGCCGCAAGGGGTTGGCTTTAAAAAGTGAAGGTTCCCCGGTGCTGGCCTCACACCCCTCCCCACCACACCACAGCCGCCTTGACTTCATGCCTTCCTCCCTACCTGCCCTGAACCCTGGGTCTGGACCCAGCAAACACTGCGAAAGGCTTAGGGTGGCCACCCTCTCACTGACTGTGAACTCCTGGAAGGCGGGGTCCGATACTTTCATTGCTGCCTCCCTGGATGCTTTGAGGACGTACATGGAAAATGTTTGTAGGATGAATGAATGAGTCAATGGTATGAGTCAATGGTATCAAGAACTCCATAGATTTTAGTTTTTGAAAATCTCTTCCATCTTCCTCTCTTCCCAGCCAGACTGTCCTTTAATCCCGCTCCCCAGACATCTGCTCCCTTTGCCCCTGACCATAGTCCCAGGGTGCAGACATCATGCAGATATCAAGGAGACCCTTCCCAGTCTAGAGGTCAGTTCCAGGAAGGACACCGAGCAGTGGCTCTGTGGTGTGTGCACTGCTGGATGTTTGGAAGCAGCTCCCCAGGGTAAAGGAAAGGCCCTGGATTTGTAGCGCTTGCCAATTTCCGTAGTGTAAATTCTCCCGCCCTCACGGATTTCGAGCCATCACATGACTGAACAGGGCATTGGGAAGAATGCACAGTTGGCTCAACGAGCCCGTGCTCTGTCTCCAGGACACCATGGTCTATCTCCCCCCAAGACTGGTCTTAGGGTGCTAGACGTCTCAGCTTGGATGCGGGGAGGGAGGGCAACTTCTGCTCCAGGAGGAAGGGATGCTCCCACTCCTTCACTCCACAGCCAAACCCAAAATAATGGCAGGAGCCCTAACGATCATACCCAGAATGCTGGTAGGAGGGGAAGCCACTGACGAGCTTTGCTCAAAACGGGCGCTTGGCCGTTGGTGGGGAGTGTGGGTCTCCAAGGAACTGTTGTTCGGCTCTTCATCTGCCCATCAGGGAGCAAGAGGTGGGTGAGAAGGCAGAGTTTCTGTTACACAAAATGAAAACTCTGAAGCAGGGCTGAGCTGGCCCCTTTCACGATTTGAATGAGCAGCTCTGAGGCACCCGCCCCGCCTTTGAGCCATGAGGCCAAAGAGCTCGGTCGAAATTCTCAAAAGCAAAGCCGAGAGAAAGGAGCTCGTGAGAGACGCGTACCCGCAGCTCAGCCATGCATAGTGGCAGAGGGAGAGGCTGAAAGAATTTGAGGCCAATCCCTCCCGGCCTTCCGCCTTCTGGAAGCCTGCCTGGGGAGGAAAGGAGCGAACGCTGCCACCTGGGGTATCCATTGGAAAAACCCCTTCTCTCTGCTTGGTACTTTCTTCCAGCCAACCTTCATTGCTGGAGGACTACGGTCTGGTGGGGGGAGAGACACCTTAGGTCACTAAGCCATTTCAGCAGAGGGAGAGACAATGTTGACAGGGTCAAGGGCAAGACAAGAAGGGAATAGTGAACATGGGTCAGAGAGGTATTCAGGGTGGGCTTTGAGGGGTGTGTAGGAGTTATCAAGCCAGATGAGAAGGAGCCAGGGGCCCAGGACGTGGCAGGGGTGGCAAACTATTGCCATCAGAGGCCAAGAAGGTAGGAGAGGGAAGGGGCATAAGGTCTAGGAAGTGGAGGGGAGGGGAGTGAGCCAGACAGGCCCCACCTAAAGGCACTCAGATCTGATGTCTTAAAAACTCCACACCACCAAGCAGGTTGTCCTGGGGATGGTCAGCTCCGACAAATGACATAAGACAGGAGAGAAACAAGCTGAAGGCGGGGTGGAGAGGCTAACCATGCCAAGGAGGAAGACGGGAGGGAGGCCACGGGCACAGCAGGCCAGATCCTGAGAACTCTGTGTGGCTTCCCAGAGGAGGCTGGACTTTATCTTGAAGGCCACGGGGTGGAGGAGAGGCAGTGAAGATTTTTGTTTTTCGACTGGGTGGATTAAAGGAGGAGACTGTGTTTTGGAAGGCGCTCTGTGGCAGCAAAGGGACAGCAAAGCCCATGTCAGGGCAGAGGTGGGGTCAGCTCCAAGGAGTGTCAGGGATAGAAGGAGCAGAAGCAGGTACATTGGCGTGAGGGGTGGATTCCAGTCATGCTCCTTGAAGTATCCTGCACATGGCAGGGTCCCCAAAGACCTTACAAGCCCACGCTTTGTTGTCCCATTCAGTCCATCTCTTAGCAGCTGTGTGGTCCCAGGTATTTGGTTTAAACTCTCTGGGCCTCTGTGTTCTGGAATTTGTCATGAGAAGCACCAGGGGTAGCTCACACAATGTTATGAGGAAGAAATACCTAAAGACTAAGCAGAAGCACAAAAGAGTAATCAGGAGTGTGGTTTCCGGGGTCAAAGGGTTTAAAGCCCAGGACTGGCCTGTTGTGTGACTCTAAGAAAGTTACTACTCTTGCCATGCTGTGCTTTCGTTTCCTCAATGGTAAGTGGGGATGATAATAGCACTTACCTCATGGGGCTTTGTGAGGATAAAGTGAGATTGTGCGTGCAGATGGTTTAGCGCGTAGTGAGAGCTCGATAGATGTGGATCCTGTCACTAGATGTGGCAGTTGATATTGTAGTGACGACAAGGTCCTACCAGCTCTCACCCATCCCCTAGTCTGCAAAGGCATCCACCGGGCCACTCACCTCGTCTCCAGATCTCCCCCTGCTTTCTGTCTTCTTCTTCTCCCTTCCTCCTGCCCCAAAAAGAGAAGAGAGAGAAAAAAGAGAGAGGAAGAAGCTTGGAGTGGCTCTTGGGGCCCGGCTGATGGCCACTATGATTTCCTGGGCAGCCTGGAGGGCCTGGAAAAATATGGGGGGGAAATTTCAGGGGAGAAAGCAGGCCTGCAATTCCCTCCTCCCCGACAGGAAGTTTCTCACGCTGGGGGCTCGGTTTGGAGTTATAGGGAATTTTCTTTTTGTGATGATCATTACTGAAAACTCAGGAACTCAGAAAACACCCAGCATCTAGGTCAACCACCCCATAACCCCCGAGACTCCCAATTTCATTGATCTCACCCAAGCCACTGCCGACAACCAGTTGCTTTATGACTTTGTAACAGACAAGAACGATCTGACTCACGGCCACTGACCAAGCACCCAGGCCACACACCAGAGTTCCCCTGAGTTCCCTGCTACCTTTCTTGAAAACCACCTGTCCTGGACCTACAAGACCCCTGCTCATGCACCATCTCCAACACACCTGGACTGAGAAGTCACCTACACACACACACACACACACACACACACACACACACAGCAGCAGCAGCAGTAGCAGCAGCAGCAGCAGCAACAGGAATGGGGCAGAGCCTGGGAGGAGGAGTCATCAACAGAGTAAAACAGAAACACAATTCTTGCTCTTCAAATCTCACCCATTCTGACTTATCAAAACTTTGAGGTTTCTCATTTCTTCCTGAGAGTCAGAGTGGGCTTTCTCTAGAGTAACCGAAAGACATTTACATGCTTAAAGAAACCTCGAGCACCAGGCTCAGGCTCGGTGGCTCAGCCTGTAATCCCGCGCCTTGGGAGGCTGAGGTGAGTGGATTGCCCGAGCCCGCGGGTTCGAGACCCGCCTGGACAACTTGGCGAGACCTCATCTCTACAATAAATAAAAAAATCAACCAGGTGTGGCAGCACGCGCCTGTAATTCTGACTATTCGGAAGGCTGAGGCGGAAGGATCGCCGGAGCCCAGCAGGTCAAGGCTGTGGTGGCCAGGAGCAGCCACTGCACTCCAGCCTGGGCGACAGAGTGAGACTCCAACTCAAAAAAAAGAAAAGAAACCTCGAGCACTTGACATCAGGATGAGTCGGTGAAGGATGGGTGGTGCTTTGAACCCTGAAGAGTGTGGCTGAGCATAGCCACGTGGACTCAAGCTGGGGGGGGGCTTAATTCAGTGAGAAGGGGGGGAGTGGGAGGGGAGAGCCATGCTGCTACCAGGAGCCATGCCCAGCAGACAGAAAATGTTCAGGCACAGGCTGGGGATATTGAGACCGTGGGTGCCTGCCCCCAGAAATAGAAGATGCAGCCAGGAAGGCAGGTTTGTGCAGACAGTGGAAGGCTTGACTGACAGGCCAGGTGTTAGGGGCTGCATCTTTAGGGCTGGGTAAAGAGAGCCCCAAGGATTTAGGGGGAAGTCACAGGGGGAGTTGGCATCAGAGCTGAGCATTAGGAGGACATGACTAGCAGTAGTATGGGGGATAGTTTACTTGAAATAGGGGGGAAACACCTGTTTACTTATGTGGACTGATACCCTTCCTCCTTCCCGGAGGAACTCCCAAGCCCAGAATCCCCCTGGTCACACAACCCCAGGAACACATGAACTCACGGCAACCTGGGTGCCGTGTAGCGAGGTTTCCAGCAGATGGTGCTGTGGCCAAGGATACGAGGAGATTCCCCAGCCTCCAGAAGGCCCCCAGCCTGGGGTCCCAGGCATTTCCTGTCCCCACGAGACCAAGCTGCAACGGGCCTGCGCGTCCTGCCTTAGTACTCACTCAGGGCATCGCAGTTACTGACACCCCTGTGACGACGGAGGGTCAGAGCACCAGGTGGGGGCCGCAGGGGGGAGCAGGCACAACTCCTGCCCCGTGGCTGCTCCCAGGTTGGTAAGTGACATAAGACTCAGCTGCAAAGCTGAACTGAGCTGGTCCAGGTCTGGTGCTAACCTGGGATCCCATCTGCCACTCAGACGCAAGGAGAGCCTTCTGACCTTAAGAGCATGTCCCTCCCCCGAGTTGACCTGACCTCCCTTCTACCCCTTACCCAAGGCCTCCGATTAGAACACAAGTTAGAGAGAAATTGTATGCACACATTTCAACTCCCTCCAAAAAAGTAGTTACATCAGGGAATAGCCTCCGTCCTGCACATGGCCACAGGGCACCGTGCCCTCCTTGTCCTCCAGGCCACCTTGATGTTCCATCACTTGCAAGAAAGACAAGCACTCATTTATTCATTCCTTTCTTTGTTTATCATTCATTTATTCATGAGCACACAAACACCAGGCACCTCCTGGATTCCAGGCCTGCTCTACGTAGAAGGGGAGAGGTCCCCGTCCCCAAGGCAGGCCAAGGCACAGGCCCCATAAACACGCCGTCAGTACTGTATGAGCACTGTCCAGGGAGGGAATGTTGTGGAGCCGATGAGTCCCTGCCGCACCCCCCTGTCGTAATCCAGTAAGTAGCTCCCCCCTCCACCCAGCCCTGTGGAATTGTCCCGTCTCCTCAGCCCCTCTTGCTCAAGAGACACTCAGGCTTTGTGCGTGGTGGTTGTCCAATCACCTGGATGCCAGGAAAATGCTCCCCCGGCCAGCAGCTCCTGACACCAAAGCAGTGCAGAACACGTGCACACGCGCCCCCCACCACGGCTCGCTCTTGTGGACAAGGCACTCGGCCCGAGAGTCAGGGTGGGTTTGAGGCTCAGCCGCGAGGGGTGTTCTGGGTGAGAGAGGCCTTCCCGGCCCGAGGAGCAGCCCAGATGGGCCCCGAAGGGGGGGCGGCCAGACTGCCCGCATCTGATGCTGCTTCTTTCTGGGACCTGGGAGTGGAGGAGGATAAGAGGGAGGTGAGGACAGGGATGCTGGGCAGCGGGCCAGGTGTTCAAAGGCACAATCTGGTTCTGATGTTCTCTTTCAGCAAATGCGGGGCCTGGAGCTTGGAGGAGACGTCCCCCCACCTCCCACTCCCACCCCCACCACCTCTCCCCTCTGCCGCTTGCTTTAATAACAAAGCGTTGTCCCTGCCAAGCAATAACTTTCTCGCCTTGTCTCTCCTACAGGGAAACCAATGAAAAACGTGCTGGTGGTGGCTCTCCTTGTCGTTTTCCAGGTGAGGTTTTCAGCCAAGAAAAGGTCCGTTCCCTCCTCCACATCTCCCCCATCCCCCAAAGGGTGGGGAGTGGGGCATTTGCTAGAAGATGACAGAGAACCCAGAGGTAAACCCACCTGCCATTCATTAAGCTGATGGCCGCCCCCTCTATCTGTTGAGTGACCCTGGAGAGCCACAGATGGTTTCTGAACTTCCTTTACTCCACTTAGATTAAAACATAGGGGGAAATACCTTACCACCTTCCCCACCCCACCTCCGATCTCCCCACTCAGGAGACAGGAACACAGACTCTGAGTTCTTGGAGAGAGAAGTGCTGCAAACAGCAAGGGGTTTTGCACACGTGCACACACGCCCAAGTATGTAAGAGCCACACGTGAGCTGAGAAAAGAACCCTGGGTCTGGCGACCAGGTTTCTAGCCAATCGCTCCAAAGCCGTCTCCCCCCAGCTTTCAGCCAAAGGCGCCCCTCACAGTCCCAGTTTTCATTTGCGAAATGGAGACACATCCAGCCTCCCCGTGAGGACAGGGAAGAAAGGCTGGGGCCCACGGATGGGGGGGGGGCTGGACGGATGGGGTGGGGGCTGGACAGAGCACAGACTTTCCAGCAAGCCTGAACTCTGAAGGGACAAAGACACCCCCCACCCCCGCCTTACAAGGTTCCATCTCTCAATCCCAAAAATGGAGACAGAAAGCGTGCCCCACCCAGTGCTGGAGTTAGAAGAATCTGCGTAACTCTCAGTATCAACTTTCCCCCATTTGCTGGAGGTGGGGGCTCTTGGAGTGGGAGCAGGGGGCCCAGCTGAGCCAGAGTTGGAGAGGCAGTGCTTCAGAATGCGGCTCGTCCCTGGGTCTGGAGGCCAGAGGGGCAACTTTCCAGGAGCTCCGGCCAGAGGCAGGCCCCAAGCTGGGCACTGTTCCCACAACCCCATCCCGGAGGCCCCCCGGAGATTGGGCTGCAGCCCAAGGCCTGGCCCCCTTCCCCATCCCTGCTCCCTCCCTCTCGCCCCTGTCCCCAGGACTCTGAGGGGTTGTACTGCTGGCAGTGGAGGCTGGAAGTCTGGGGGGGTGAGGGCGGCTGAGGCCCATTCTCCTTTCACGTGGGGAGGGGTACTCAGGGCAGGATGTGTGAGGCCCGCAGGCTGCAGAGATGACAAGGCTGGTGGGGAGGGGAGGAGGCAGGACTGGGGGGTGGGGAACACACTTCCCAGAGGCTGGGAGCACTCCCTCGCAAAAGGCTCAGGCCCCCTCGTGTCCAGGGACCCTGAACCTAAGGCCTGGCCATGGCTGGGCCGGCCGAGGCAGCCAGCCTCCTCCAGGGCTCCCAGGCCTCAGCCATGCCTGGACGAGGGCAAGGGGTTGCCACTGACTAGCAGTGCCCAAAGAAAGGGTTCCTGGACATCATCTTGTCCTCACCCTGTCCCCAAGCAGGACAGCGATGAATCTAGAACTTGGAAGTGAGAAAGACAGACCAAGATGCGGTTAGTCCCTCTGGTCCCGAGTGCATAAAAACTCATGACGGTTGAGGTCCTAAGTCCAGTTTCTGGAGGAAGAACCATGAGGCTCCCAAGGCCTGTCTTCCAGCCCAGCTCCCTGCCCCGCATGAGCCCAGCCCACCTGTCGCTGTGTGCAGAGGCAGGCGCAGCACATACACCCTGTCCTTCATTGATAAAATCACAGCAGGCTGCTGAACCTTCCCGGGCCCTGCAGGCAGGCTAAAAAAAGCCCCAGCAGCTGAGCCCTGCTGATTGGGATCATGCCGGAAGAGAGAGGTGGGGGGGAACGGGTGGGAGCACAGAGGGAGAGTGGGGGAGAGCGCTGCACTTCCTTCCAGGGACACAGCTGCTGAGGAGGCCGCTCCATTCACACTGGGGCACTTGGGCTGGCGTTACTGGTGCTCCTGTCCTGCCCCCGGCTACTCTACAGACCCCAGGAATCTCGTGTCTTAGGGTCACCCGCCACCCATGAGCACAGCAGTGTGCCTCATATCCAGGGCTTCCGGCCTCTTAAGGAAAGAATCTGCCTTCCTCTCTTCCCCCTCTAGGCCCCAGGCAGATTTCTCTGTCCAAATAGGGGTATTTTATAAGCCCCCCGGAAAACTCCACTAGCTTCTAAAGGCGATTCAGGAGGAAAGACACATGTTCCTGCTCTCATGGAGTCTCCAGAGGCAAAAGAAAGGCCCCATGGAGGTGACACGGTGCTGGAACCCAGGCTAGGGATCTCACCACAACCACATCAAGGAACTAGGACTCATCCCCATTTCACAGACGGGAACACTGAGGCTCAGAGGGAGGGAATGGGTTTAGCCAGCTCAAGGCTCATCTGGTCCCAAAGCCCAGGTTATTTCTTTTTTTTTTGAGTTGGAGTCTCACTCTGTCGCCACTCCCGGCCACTGCAGCCTCGACCTGCTGGGCTCCGGCGATCCTTCTGCCTCAACCTTCCAAGTAGCTGGAATGTCAGACGCGCGCTACCACGCCCGGCTAATTTTTTGATTTATTGTAAAGATGAGGTCTCACCAAGTTGCCCAGGCAGGTCTCGAACCCACAGGCTCAGGCAATTCATTCACCTCAGCCTCCCAAGGCGTGGAATTACAGGCTGAGCCACCAAGACCAGCTTGCCCAGGTTATTTCTAGTCCACCGTCAGCACATGTAAGGGCTAGTATCTCAGAGCTGGCAAAACCTTGCTTCTTAGTAGTAGAAATGCAGGGTCTCAGGTCTCACCCCAGCCTACTGAGTCAGAATAGATATTTTAGCAAGGTTAACCAGGTGATTCATGTGGAAGTTAAAATTTGAGAAACATTGATTTCCAACCAAAAGAAATCACTTGGAGCTGGGCTCGGTGGCTCAGCCTGTAATCCCGCACCTTTGGGAGGCTGAGGTGAGTGGATTGCCTGAACCCGTGGGTTCAAGACCCGCCTGGGCAGGTGAGAACTCATCTCTACAATAAAATAAAAAAATCAGCCGGGCGTGGTAGCGTGTACCTGTAATTCTGACTTACTCAGAAGACTGAGGCGGAAGGATCACCGGAGCCCAGCAGGTCGAGGCTGCGGTGGCCGGGAGCGGCCCTGCCTCCAGTCTGGGT